TTTCTCAGTGATGTGCTGCTCATTTGCTGTGCACCAACTTGCTGTCACATCCTCTGATGCTAACCCACCTCACATCCTCCAACGCTAACCCATCTCACACCCACTGAAGCTAAGCCACTTCACACCTACTGAAGCTAACCCACCTCATATCCACCAACGCTAACCCAACTACAGACATGCAGCCCGGCACCTTCCACAGCAGCAAGAAGTCAAAATAGGTCCTCAAGGTGCCTCAGTTTGTGATACAGAAGAATGCATGGAGAAAAAGGAAGGGTTAAGAATAGGTAAGCCTGCTCCCTGACGGCAAGAGTGTCGATGAAAGCAAAATAAATTCCTCAATTCTCTCCAGCTCCAAGAATCTGGAATTTTATTTACCAGTCCTGGCGAGTAGGCTACTCCACCAGAAGGCCTCAGTCTTAACTCTCCGTTTTTCCTAGTTCTGAGTGGATGGTGACTGCTAAACTTTTTCTAAACCAAAAAATAAATAATAGCTTTTCAGTAAGACGATGCTTCGTCATTAACATTTTCCAAATGAAAACATCTTGTGGGTCTTAAGAAAAATCACAGAGTATTAAAAAAAAGTTTAACTACAAAATGTTCTTCTGTGGTGTCATTCTCTTAAAATAGAACCTTCCTAAAATCTTCTAAAAATAAGCCTGCTATAGTTTCATTTCATTTTCAGAGGAGATAAACCTACAGAAACAAACACTTCTTCTTCTTTTAAAAGTCTACACGGGGCTTACAGGTCAAAGTCTGAAAGGGCTAATTTCTTCACTTTACAGGGCGATGACAAAGCTTTGAAAAAGAGGAAAGACAGTCCTCCTAGTGTACTGCTCTTGTAGAAAGAGGAACTATATTAGTTGAGAATCACTGACAAAGACAGTTCTGCCCAAGGAAATGACAAAACAGTGTTTCGGCAACTTGGGCCAAGCAAAGGGATGATTCCTCCCACACGGCCATAACTGGCCCTTCAGTAAGGTGCTCCAAAAGCCACAGAGGCCAAAATCACAAGCCAGCAGGAAAGGTCTTGTTCATTTTTTTAAAAAAAAATGTTTTTTAAAGTTCATGTAAAAGTTGCTGATAAAATGCTGCCATCTCAATGCAGTGCATAGAGAAGGCACTAGCTGCATTAATCTAAAGAAAGGAAAGAAAGAAGACATAAAGAAACCATATGTGATAGGCCAGCCCTCATTTTATTCTTTTTTTTTTTTAAAGCCTTGGGAAGAAGCCAAGAATATACTTTGTCACATGCAGGCAGACTCAGGCCCTGAAGGAGCCTGTAAAGCAGCTGGAACAGTCAACCCATTTCTGAAGCACCCACAGAAACTCAGGGCTACCTAATGTGATTGTGTCTTGACCCACAGGAAATGCCAGTGTGGGGGGTGTAGGCAAGAAAGTGGGGGAAATGCAGGCTTTACCACAAAAACCCTGGAGTCCCAAAGGTCTGCCCAGAAGAGGAGGAACCAAGAGAACTCAGCAGTTCCACCATCCACCATGGGTGCAGTGCAAGCAAACTTAATCTAAGTTAAAGGAAATGTAACCTTTTCCCCTTTCAACCACATCTGAGTCTTCATTTCTACTTTAATGCCTGAGGTAAGGGAACCTGTAAGATAGCCATCACCTTCCCCCTAGGCACAAGCTGCAAGTGACAAATTTAAGTTAACCAAGAGTTAACTTTTTTATAACAATGTTAGTGCTTTGAAGTAGTTGCTGCTTGCCACCTTCATCACTGCATTGTTTCCCAAATACTCACAGGAATGGGAACTGAGCTACACTGGCTCAGTCTGTAAATAGTCATCTATTTTCTGCTAAAAGAAGCAATATAGTTCAGAGAGGGAGAGACAAACATGCTTTTCAGGAAAGCAACTTCTGCTTATATAAGACCACTTCTTGCCGGGGGGGGGGGGGGGGGGGGGGGGGGGGGGGAGATCAATTTAAAGAGGAAAATACTGTGATAAAGGACACAGACCTTAGAACTGAGGCTAATTAATTACCCCACAATAACTTGCCACATGATGTTACAAAAATCATTATCTTGAAAAATTAGGTTCTTCAACTATTTAAAAAAAAAAGGGTGGGGGACTGAACTAGATAAACCTCAACCCGGCTGCATATCAGAATCAATTGAGAAACTAAAAAATAGTAATAATAAAATGAAAATGCAAAGCCCGTGTTAATCCAATTAAGTAAGAAACTCTAGGTTTTGGTATTTTAAACTTTTAGAAGATTCTAATATGCAATCAGAGCCTCAAACCCCTGGGAGTGATTCTGCTCTTCAAGCCTCTTTTTAAGTTCTTTCATTCTGATATTGAAGTGTTAATGTGGGCTACAAAATTGTGGTTACATCTCGTAATGCAGTGGCCCTAAACGCAAGTAGCCAAGTAAACCCTATAGACTGTGTCTAGGTGCACAAGTGAGAAGAGGAAATCCTGAATTCTAGGCAATTTCAGAAACTAAAAAGGCCTAATACATAACTCAGAATGAAAGTAGCATGGTTTCAAGGCTTATGCACGCTTCCAAAATGACTAATCATGATAGCAATCAGCTCCTGAAACTTGGACGCATGGAAATGGGTCACAATTAGTTCCTGACCTCTCCCTTTTCCCTCTTCTTCCACCCCCACTAACCACGGACACACTAAAAGATTGGCTCTTAGTCATAATCAGAATATGAAACTAGCCACAGTTTCAAAGGACCTTCTTCATCATCAAAGATTTGGAAGTTCCTGCATGGCTGCATCTTTTGAAGAAGGTCATCTTACAGAAACCCTTTAACTAGATTATATTTCTATTGTCTTCAAGGATTAGCTGCTATGTGATATTCAGAACCAGAGTAAAATTTGAAGTAAAAATCATAAACTATGTGCGCCACATTAAACGTGTATAGCTTGAGAGTTTCAATTTACAATATTTCCTAAGATTTTTAAAGAGAAATTAGAGAAGGAAAGGGGAACCCCTAAGACCAAAAACTGGTTATAACGTAAAACCACAAAGTTTATGAGTGGGCCCAAATTTTCTATCGCAAGTCTTACACCGTACAAGAAAATACAGCTATAGCCGATCTCAGTTCAGAAACTTGTTAATACCACTTCCTCAAGCAAATCTTCAAGAAAAATCAAACATTTAAACAGTTATAATTCCTATTGTCATAAAGAATGCTATTCAGAGAACTTTTTTATAATCTTAAAAAAGATCAGGAAAGGTGAAAACTTTTCTTCTGCTAGCTTTTTAGACAAGAAAGAACTTTTTAAACAGAATCTCTGCATTAAATTCAAAACATGCAGGACTAAGTTTCAAGCACGAGAAACTTGAAAAATATTCCAAAACCGACATCCATCATCTTAGATCCTGTAAAACTCACCCCTCCCTGACACTATACATATACTAATCCTCACTATCACCTGCAAAAAAAAGCTTTAAAGTCACTACCATTAGCACAGTATCATATTAGTACTTCTCTGAAATGAACTTATGTCTCATCCTTTCTGTAAAAAGCCCTCATATCACAAAACTGACATTCCTTTGCAAAGCAATAAAATTAAACCAAATATTAAGTGCATACATTCCTTCAAGGACATGACCGAGATTTGTGAAATAATACCAATGCACAAATTTTACTCCTTAAGAATCTGACCAAGGCCATTTTATTCAGGCCACGATAAAGGTGTCTGTAAAGGTGCTTTGCAGTATTTATGTCTAAAGCAAGTTACAATAAATTCTTTAGTTCTTTCACAAATAGGTTCCTCTCCAATGGGTTAGTTCACTCACTGAGGTTAAAGTATTCTCATTCCACACTGGAACCCAGAAATATACAGGGTTCCCCCAAAGACAATAAAGGAAGGGTTAGAAGAAGCAACTACCTCTGAAAAAGGCTAACTTGCACTGTAGAAGCACCTGGTAAGTGACAACATCTCCCCCTGGCAGGGCTCTCTGGCCTGGTACTGAGGCATTCCTGTCTTGGGGGATGAGGCCAAGAGGAAGAGGTACCCAGGAAGCAGCTGGGTATCAGCAGCCCTGCACGGTCAGAGGAGTTCATCTCTGCCGATGCCCAACTGCAAGGAAGTCATTACATCATAGGCCTTTCCACACCTCTCCCTGACCACGTGTCCCACGCCCGAGGAGGAGGAGAAGGGCCGCCCGGGGAGGAGAAGAAGGGCCGGTAGAGCGCCTCTCCTCAGGTTCACTTGTAGGGAGAAGCCATTGTGCCCTGGCGCTGCTACCCAACTTCCCTCCCAGGGGCCTGTTGGAAACGCCAAGCTCTCCAGAACCCTTCTAAAGGCAGTGCCAGGCTTCCGCAGAGCAGCAGGTGTGCCGGCACGCCTCCTTCCCCCAACTCTGGTGGTCCTTCTGGGTTCCCAGGTATTTGAGAGGCTAACCCGGGCAGGCAGGTTTACCAGAAACACGTCCCTAACAAATGAAGACGTGAGCGCGGGCAGGGAAGAAGAGGCAAAGGTTTGCCAAAGCTGCTGCTGGGAATGAACAACCGACCCGCCCGAAACTTGGGGCTCGAGGGCCGTGGTTCGCCTCTAGCGAGTGCCAACGTACCGCGCTCCGCGGAGCACACGCCACCACCTCCTCCGGGTACCGAGTGGCCAACACGCCCCGAGTGCCCCCCTCGGTCCACCGTAGCGCGCCCCCACCCCCACCAGCCGCGCCCCCCACTCCGGAGATTTCCACTCCGAAGTTGGAAACCGCGTACCTACCTCCTCCGGGCGGTCCAGAATCCAGCACACGCGCTCGGGCCCGCCCGTCCTTACCTCCCTTCCCGCGCGGCCCCCCTCTCCTAAGCCGTGACCGACACCCCCACCCCACCCGCACCTCGCTCCCCGAGGCAGTCCCCAGGTTCTCCTCCTCCGGGGGTCGCACGGAGCCTCCCCGAAACCTGGCTGCAAGGCCCCTGTCCCCCGCGGGCGCGCTCCGACGCATCCCGGGCGCGTGGCGCGCGCTGCGCAAGGAGGCCCGAACGGCGGGGCGCGCGGGCCGCCCCAGGTGGGTACGCACCTTCCAGCCGGCGGAGCTGTTGCTGTCGCCCTTATCCTTGAAGTAGGGCACGCAGCGGACCATCCACTCGTAGATCTGGGACAGGGTGAGCCGTTTGTCCGGGGAGCTCTCGATGGCGCGGGTGATGAGGTCGGCGTAGGACAGGTTTCCCCAGGCGTTCCGCCGCGACGAGCATTTCCTCGGCTGCCCCGAGCCCCCCGCCGCCCCCGGCTGCGGCGGGGGCAGCGGCTGCTGGGGCTGCAGCGGCGTCAGTGCCCCGCCGCCCAGCGCGCCCGCCGCCGAGGCTGGCCCCGCGCCGGGGTCTTGGCCACCAGGCGCCAGCAAGCGAGCCGAGTCCTCCAGGAGCAGCCCGGGGCAGCCCAGCGCGACGCTCCCGCCGCCGCCGCCGCCGCCGATCGCCATGGCCGAGCCCGCTCGGCCGCCGCCGTCCTCGTCGTCTTCATCGTCCTCCTCCTCGGGGATCATGGAGTCCGCGGCCGCCTCCCCCGAGGGCTTGGCCGGGCTCCCCTGGAGCTCCGGCCTCTGCAGGGGCCACGTACAGGAGCGCGGCCGGCTCTGGGGCTCGAACTCCGGGTCCAGCTCCACTTCGAGCGGCGAGAGCGGCGCCGGCGAGGCCGGCGTCTCTGCCATCTTCGCCGCCCACCCGCTCGCTCGCTCGCTTGCTTCGCCCGCCCGCGGCTCGGGCTCGCTCGCTCCCTCGCGCTCTCCTCTCGGGCCCGGGTGGGGTGCGGCGGGGGGAAGGGAGCGAGGGCGGGGTGGGGGGGGGGCGCCGCGAAGGCTCGGGGTCGGGGCTCCTGGGCGCCGCCGCCGCTGCTACTGACGCCGCCTGGGGGGGGAAGCACGAGACGGGGGAGAAGGAGAGTTGGTTACCGCGGGCTGGAGCCCCGCGCTCGGCCAGTCCTTGCCCGCCGCGGCCGCCGCCGCCGCTGCCTACGGCACCGCGCCCGCCTCCCCGGAGCAGGCAGACCTGGAGACGTGCGTCCCGCGAACCTGGCGCAGCAGACGCCGCCCCCTGGCCAGGCCGCGGGGGAGCCGCGAGCGAATCGACGGGCGGGCCCGGGGCAGCCCCCTCCCCCCTTCCGTGCCTCCGTGCCTCCGTGCCGCCGCCGCCGCTGCTGCCGCCGCTGCCGCCGCCGCCCCGGCCGCAGGTCTCCCCGGGGCGAGGTGCGGGGCGGGGAGGCAGGGGGAGGGGCGGGGGAGGGGCGCGGGCCGCGCCTTTAAAACGCGCCGCAGCCCGGCTGGCGCAGCTCCGCCGCGGGGGCCCCCGAGCCGAGCGTGCGTTTGTTTATGTTGCGCTCCGGCCCGCTCCGGCGCTTCCCGCCGCGGCGCCAAAGTCAGGGGCGTCTCAGGCTCCTCGCCCCTTCCCCCGGCCCCTGCAGCCTCAGCGCTCCCCGGGCCACCCCCCGTGCTGCAGAGCGACCCGGGGTACTGCGCGGGCAGGCGGCCCCTCTCCTCCCGGTTGCGCCCGCGGGCTGGGAGGGCAAACGCGCTCCCGTGCAGCCGGATCCTCCTTTACCCACCAGCCTGGAAGACAGGCGGAGAAGGGATGGGGACGGGGGGGGGGGCGGGGGGGGGTGCTCGGCTGGGGTCGCCAAGGGGCGAGTCCCGCAGGAGTAGCCACTGAGGGAAGGTGGGGGTCCGGGGGGGCTTCCCTCGCGACCGTAGCGCCCTCCGCCCTCGCCCTCGCCCTCGCCCTGGAAGGCCCGGGGGAAGGGGGGAAGTCGGAACAGAAATCTTCCAACAGGTCGGGCAGCGCCAAGTCTTCCCCCGCGGCCCGAAAGCCCGGCCAGCACGCTCATCACCTCCTTGCACCCGCTGCTGCCATCTTGACAGTTTTTCCTCCCCCCACCCCCCTTCACTCAAGTCCTTTTTTAAAAAACACGAGCGGGAGAGAAGGAGGGCGCGCACACGGAGTCACGGGGAGGAGGGGGGGAAAGGGAAGCGCCTGGGCCAGCTCGGAAGCAGATCCGGAGTCACCCGCGGGGAAGGCTGCCGCCCCGCTGCACAAGCACCGGCGCCTACCTCGGTTCCTTCCCCCTTCAGGGACGAGCCGGGAGGACGCACGATCCCGCTCGGGCCCGGGGCGCGGCGAGGAAGGGGCGCGCAAGCTGGGCGAAGGAGAGGCGCTCCGGCCGCCGCAGCCCGCGCGAGGACCCGCCTGACAGCCTGCGCGCCGCCGCCGCCGCCGCCGCCTTGCACATTCCTCGTCCTCCCTTCCACGAGCAGGACGGCCGCGGCAGCAGCACAAAGTTATAGACACACGCAGGGTGCCTCAACCTAGGCTGACGGCGGGCGGGCGGGTCTCCGCCCAGGGGGAGGGCTGGGCGGCGGGCCCGGGCGAGCGAGCGAGCGTGTGTGAGTGCGTGTGTGTATATGTGTGTGTGTGTGTGTGCGTGTGTATGAATGTAGGCGCGTGTGTTTATGTGCTCACACGCGCGCCTGCGCGGCCGGCTCCGCGGGGGCTGCGGGCCAGGACCCGGTGGACTCCCGCAGCCGTCGCCGCCGGGCTCCTCCTCCCTCCCGCGAGCCTCCAAACGACAACAAAGCGCGGCGCGGAAGGCGGAGAAGAGGGGGCGAGGGGTGCAGCGCCTACAAACGCCCGGCGGAGCGCAGCCGCGTGGGCTCTCTAACTCGGCGCTAGGCGCCTGCCCGTCCCCGGGGGCGGCGGGGGGGGGGGGTGTCCCCCAAGCCTTGCGCGCCGGGCAGTCGGACTCCGGGCCCGCCCTGGTGTCTCCGATCCCTCTTAAGAACCGGACACCAAGTCACCCCCCCCCCCCCGAGATAGGCTGCTGACCGCCAACGGGTACCTCGGCGTAGGCTACTGACACGCGACGACGTTGGTGCCCGCGGGATTTCGATCGGCTGGTACCCTCTGACTTAATCGGGCACCAAAAGGGTTTGGCGCTGAGTCTCTTGCCTCAGGCGCTCGACCTCAACCGCGCTCCGCTTTTCCTGGATTTCGCGGTCAGAGAGGTTGGGGAGTGCAACTAAGTCAGGAAAACAGCACGAGTCCCGATTCTCAAGCACAGGAGCAGGCTTTGAACACTTTGGAAAAGGGAATTCGCAGTTCCGAGTGGAAAATTACTTCTAATCTGCAGGTGACAGTATAGCAGCAGCTAGTTGTGCTTTTTTTTGTTTGTTTGTTTAACTTTACAAAGGACTCTCCGTCCGGGGGAGAAGAAGTCTCTTAAGAAGTCCTCGGTCTACGACCAGTATCCAAACCGTGCGTGTGTGCACGAGAAAAGAGTCCATGCCACACGCAACAGAGAAGTCTCTCGCGGGGCTTTGATTCATAAATAACTCCTCCGACCACTCCTCCAATCCTGTCGAGTCACTGGTCCTATTTTAGTCCAAAGTGGGCTCCGCGACTGCCAGCCCCCCCCCCCCCCCCACACCCAAAGAGGTCCTACAGAGCGTTTTGCAGGAGTCCTCCCGAACAGCCCGACTCCAGGCTCCGGCTTTTGCGCAGAGCCCGTCACTCAAGTGACGCACGGCCCCGCCCCCGCACCAAGCTAGTTCGACGCGTACAAACAGATGATGTCATTGTGTCCACACGCGCGTGACCCGGGAGCGCTGCGCCGCGCGGCCATTCGCTGCGCCGCGGACACGTCAAGGCACGCCGCGCGCTGACTGGCCGCGGCCACCAGTCTCCAGGCCCCAGACGCCCCTCTCCGCCCACCGCCCCCGCCCCGCCGCAAATAATAAACAATCGAGTAAAATTCTAAGGCAGGAAGGAGGGAAGGGAAGCGAGGAGGGAGAGGAGAGGAGCAATACCGAAGCCCATCCTTAGCGCGCAGACGGTGGGAGAGTTAAAGTGGCACAGGGAGGCGGGGGACAGGAGAGAACCGGGAAGGGCGGCAGGCCGGAGCAGACCTTGGGGCGCTGGGTCCCGCCGCAAGAGCAAAGTTGGAGAGCGCCTGGCGGGCCGCTCCTGCCACGCTTGGGGTGCGCTAGGGCCCGGAGGCCGCCGGGCTCCGGGGGCGCAGCGGGCGGCCCGTCGGAGGGGCGGAGACTGGGGCGCGCAGGGGCGCAGCGGGCGGAGCCGGCCGACACGTGCGGGAGGCGGGCGGGCGCGCGCGGCTCTGGCTCGCCCCGGGCGCGCGGCGGCAGCAGCAGCAGCTGCGGCGCGCGCTTGTTTACCAGCGCACGTGGGTGTTATTTTTAAATGGAATGTTGTGCTGGAGGCTCGGCTGAGTGGCTGGCGCGTGGGGCCGCCCGCGCCGGCTGGGGGACGCGGCGGGTCCTGCGCCACGGCCGGCCTCTGTTTCTCTTTCTTTCTCTTTCTTGCTGCAGATCGCTGGCCACCGGGGTGGTCTCGTTTCCACCCCCTCCACTGCGGTCTTCCCGCACGGCGTGCGTGTCGGACCGAGACCCCGATGGCGAGTTTCCCGCTCTCCAGCCTGCGTGGCGAAGACAGCTTCCCGCCACGGCAGGCCACATTCTTTGCCCCGGGCCTGGCACTCTTCTCCCTTGTCACATCCCGGGAACAAAGCCACCAGCTTCTCTCCGCCTTGGAGGCTCGGGAGCAGATTGCACGTTGCTCACGTACTCACTGTCGCGCGCGCGCACACACACACACACACAGTCACACCTGGACGCGAGGTGGGCTTTCATCGCCCTCCTGCATGGTTCGTGCCCTCCTTCCTTCCCTCCCTCCCACGTCGCCCGGCCCTGAGTATTGGTCTCTTGGGCACGCAGCTCTGCCCATCAGAAATGGCTCCTGCTACCTCGGGTTGTCTTTGAAAGGAGGAAGTCTGGGCAAGGGAGCTCTGCGCCTGCTTCCTGGGCATGCTCCTGTCATAATGGAGAACCCCAGAGTTGATTCATAGCCTGGCAGCATGGACCTTAGTCGAGGACCCCGTTTCTCTAAAGATACCGAGGAGGGGGAGGGGGTTGTAGAGCTTAGTCCGGAGCCCGGTGTGTGCTCAGCTTTGCAAGAGCAGCAGGAAAGCCAGGTCACCCTGGGAGAGCCGGCACAAAAGCCAAGGAACGTTCAGTTGCTTGTTTCTTAACATTCATGGCACGCTGAAAGAAATTCATCTTTTTTCTCTTCTCTAATCTTTTGTCATTAAAGTCAGACCTGCAGAAGCAGGAAGAATGTGTTTACAGAATCTGGGCTCTGGGCCCTCAGATTTTACTATAAACATGTTGAGTGTCCATTTACAGAAAGCATATCCCAAAGGCATTCCAAGGAATGGAAGAGTCAGTGGATTAATTGTGACCCTTTTGGTAACAAACACGGGGGGAAAGGGGGCAACGTGTTTGTTACACGTTTGGTAACAAACACGGGGGGAAAGGGGGCCAGCTATTTACCATGAAAAAGAAAAAGTTGGGATAAAATGTATAAGAAGTCAGTATTTTTCCTAATTTAAGAGTTTGAAACCGTGCAACGTATATGGAGAGAGTAAGGAGAAAGTTGAGTAAGCTTCAAATAAGTTGACCAAAACTTAGGAAAAAAAAAAAAAAGCATGTGCCTTGCATGCATCAGACCAAGTGTTAGACACCCAGCACCACATATGGACCCCACTGTCACTGTCCCTGTCACTGTCCTCCCGTTGTTCATCAATGTGCTCGTGCAGGCCCAGTAACGTCTCCATCTTGAAACTTGTTTTTGGCTTATTGAATACCTCATTGGTACCTTGCCAGGCTTTGCCGTCGGGGCGAGATACTCTCGGTAGCTTGCTGGGCTCTCTGAGAGGGGCAGAGAGGAATCAAACCCAGCTCGGCCAGGCTGGCTCTGTGCAAGGCAAACGCCCTACCACTGTGCTATCGCTCCAGATCCCACAAAAGCCTTAAATTTATTTTTAATTTTTTTTCTCAAAATTGAATATTCATCTTGATAAGTATGTACAGTATCCAAAGAATTTACCTTTGCCATCTGTCTCTGGGCAAAACTTTGAAAATGCAAATTGGACCTCATGATTGTTCCCTTTTGGCCTGAAATTGCTTTGAATCATTGCCATGCCCCTGTAGCCTTCTTGATTTTTCTCTATTTCTTCTCCCCACCATTCTCAGCTTTTTAACAGGAAAACTGGGGAAGATGTGACAGTTGAAAAAGGAAAACATTATTTTTTTTGCAAGCGGTTTTGGTCAACATTGTCCTCATTTCCTTTATTATTTTTTTCTATAAATTAGGAGTGATTGTCTGCTCCATTTTTGTTCCATCTCTGAAGGAGCAGTTTTTATATCATAAGCTGAGTTGATCCATCACTGCAAACATCGCAGGGTGAGGGCTTGGTGGGAGACGGCAGGTCTCTCCTCTGAAGTCCCACAGCTCAGCACCTGGATCCTTACCCAGCTTACCTGCACCCAGGTGCACTGTATATGCTGACCCCTGACCTGACCCTAAATCCTAGGTTCTGAGCCCACTGCCTGTGGATGCTCATTTCCCTCGTTGCTTGGCTCTGCAGCTCTGAACAATGTGGGATGGAAACACAATATAAGCTCCTCACAAATCTGTAGCGCATTAGGGAAGAAAAAACAAGCCACAATTTGGGTTAATTGCTAGTCCCTGTCTTCTAACACCTTCATTGGTCCCTTCCTCAGCCGTCCCTGCTGTGAACTGCACTACTACATGGAAAACACCTGTTGAACACCAAGTACTGGTTGATCTTTGGCTTATCCTTTTGGGGCATCACACCAGACATGTTTCATCACCACCCATTCCAGGAGCTCTCTTCCCCTTCACCTCTTTCTGGTATTGTCTTCCCAGGTCACCAGAGAGATTGTTCTACAGTTCATTTGGGGTGGAAGGAAAAGAAGGGATCCACCACCACCCGTAAAAGGGTAAAAATATACCTGACTCAGAATTGCACAGGCAAGAGAAAGTGGAAAGGACTCTGTTTTCTTACTATGAATTGTCCCTTGCAGGCCCTGAAAAAGTACTTCTTTTTGGTGTTTGGTTTCAGCCACACAAAGACCATCTGAGGGGGAGTCATATGGCTTCACTTATCAACTGTGTGGCCTTGGGTTGTTACTTCTGAGCTTCCTGCCTCAACCACGGGAGGACAAGAAAACCTTGAGGATTGTTAGCTCATTTTAGACGAGATAATGAATCTAAAGCATTTAGGAGTAGAATCCGAAAGAGAAGAGAAAACCACTTAGGAAAGGGGGCCCACACCCAACAAGGGACCAAGTGATACCAGGGGTGGAATCCAGGCCTCCTTCTTGCAAAGCCTGAGCTCCAACCTTCCAACCTCTCTGCCAGCCCATAAGGAGGAACTTTTAGTGATGCCCAGGCTTTATCTTGAGCACACTAAATTAGAATCAGGTGGGTCCTGACATTGATTTTTTTTTAATGTGTGTCAGGTGAATTTGATCTAATGAAGGCTGAGAACCCTGAGCTGAAGTTCCACAGAGCTTGCCTTC